TCCAGCTGCTTCACTGATTCCCATCCCAGTTTGGCCCTTGTAGGTGACTGAGTTTGCAACCCAGGCTTTTGTAAGTTTATCAGAGGGAAAGATAACGAATGCTAGCGTGACAACACTGGAGAGACCATCCCTGCACCAAATAAGGCCATTCCTCAGCCAGGCCTTGTTCTGAACTGCACTGAATTGTGTTGGGCTGATGCATCTAGCAAGTTGTTTCTCCTTTTCCACAATTTACTCAGGTTCACTCCTTCCACATTCTCCTCCTTCCCCGCTGGAATGCCCTGCCCACTGCTCACCCAGCCTACCTCATGAACTTTTCCATGACCTCCTCCACCCACATCTGCAGTCTCAGGAAGCTGATGCCGTAGTGCCACCAGAGGCGGAAGAGGTTCAGCAGGTACCAGTCGGTCTCCTCCAGCATGAAATGCTCCCCGCCGAAGATGGCACTCCTGCCTACCACCTCACGCCGGTGCCTCAGCCCTGCGGAGAGGAGGAGGAGCCCTTCAGGTCCCTTTCCAAGGGCCCCCCAGGAGACCTGGCAGTGCCTTAAGCTTAAATTCAGGGCCTTCCTGATGCAAATGGACTGGCTCCATTAAAGGAAATGTGAACACTATGGTTTGTTCATTTGTGCTGCTTGTTTATAAACAGTAAACGAATGTACTGGGAAAATGTTTGGCCTTCCTAGTCAATAAAAAAATGAAAATAAAAATAAGCTATTCATTTTACATTTTTTTTCCCCCAAGTGGATCCACTCAGCCACGTATGAGGGAAATTCAGATGTTATCCCAGAATGTCCAGGGGTGGACAGCCACAGGGCTTGCTCCGAGGTGGCTGCTCTGGGCACAAGATCCCATGGAAATAATCATAGCTCCGTACAGCCACCCAGCACTCTACAACTTACAGAGCAGTGGACTCATAAACACATGGAGAGCTATGATTCATTCCTTCCCCCACCCCCACATACTATATACACTGTTCTGCATCTTAACAACATATAGTATCTGGGAGATTGTTCTATATCTGGGCATAAAGGATGTCCCCATTCTGGCTGCTGAACAGCCTACTGTGTCTTTACACAATAATTTATTTAACCTCAGCTCCCAGTTGGTATGCAGATAGGATACTTTCAAGCTTGTGCTATTACAAACAACGCTATAATGAATAGCCTCATATGTACGCCACTTTGCACACCTACCAGACCACCTGCAGGATCACCTCTGAGAAGCAGAATTTCTGCATTAAAACAGTATGTGTAGGACCGGCCCCGTGGCTCACTCGGGAGAGTG